GTTCATGTGAGTCCTGGGCTTCTTCTATTTGGTGCAGTGCGTCTTTGGCAGTGTATGTTCTTCGATCGGGGCTTCCTGGTGAGGTTGGTTCTCATTGTATGTGGCTGCTGCGAAGTTCAAGTCGCTCTGCACCTCGTGGAGTTTTTCGTCACGGCCTTCATGTGCACTGCACTCTTCTGTGGCATGTGCGTTGCTGTGAAAAAACCCTCGTCCTCCTCCACCTCCTCCTCCTCCTCCTCCCCCTCCTCCTCCTCCCCCTCCTCCTCCTCCTCCTCCTCCTCCTCCTCCTCCTCCCCCTCCTCCCCCTCCTCATCCTCCTCCCCATCCTCCTCCCCATCCTCCTCGCCTCATCGCTCCGGCCTCTCCTTCTCCTTCCCCCACTCCCCCTCCCCCTCCCGCTCCTCCTCATCGTGGATCCTCTTTTTCTTCTCTTTCGCCGGCGCCGAGAACGGCGGATGTCGTCGTCATCCTCCGGATCGTTTTCAGAATGTGGTTCTCGCCTTAGCGCCGCGCGCATTTGCTGGAAAAGACTTGCAAGAGCTTCACGGATTGAGGGGAAGCCATTTCAAAATGTGGCTCGCCTTAGCGCCGCGCACGTTCGTTTCAAACATTTGCAATATTTTCACGGATAGAGGGCGGTTCCTTTTCAAAAAATGTGGCTCCCGCCTTAGCACCGCGTTCACTCGTTAACGCAATGTGCAAGACTTTCACGGGTTTCCCTGATCAAAATACCAGAAATGGCGTTTTGGAAAGATTCAGGACTATGAGGGTGCAACGGTTACGGTCACTCGCGGTGTTGAAGTTCCAAGAATGGCGTTCTGGCACCAATTCAGGATCGTCAAAACGCAACAGTCAGGTTGCTCCGTGCCGTTGGAGTCCCAAGAACAATGTTGTGGCATGCTTCAGGGTTCCAAACGGTTGTCTTCCAACGAGGCAGTTCCCTCAATGGAAATGAACCGTTGTAGGGGCCTATGAAGAGAGAGCTCGGAGGGAGGGTTTATTCCAACATCGTTGATGACTCTTGGGTTTACACTGCCCCTCCTCCTCCTCCTCCTCCTCCGTCCTATCCTACCACCTCTTCATCACTCCTTATCTCCTCTCCTTCTGCCTCCCCTCTTCTCCCCTCTCCCTGCCTCTCCGTGTTGGGAGAGGGGGGAAGAGGGGAGGCACAAGGGCATTTGTTGTGTACGGGCCCGTGCGTCTACTGTGTCTTCGTGTTCCTTACAGCCAACCATTATAATAAGGATGCGAGGTAAGGATGCAAGGGCCTTGGAAGGTCATCTCGAAGCTTGGCGAGCGGGGGGCGGCCAGCGAATCCGGCCAAGGATGGGCCGAAGGGGAAGGATGCAAAGGGCAACCTTGGGAACAGTGCCCATCCCTACCGTGCGGGTCGACTGTATCTCTCCCCCGCAAAAGGTGTGATGAGTTCGGCAGCCCTTCTGCTCGAGGGCGCGACGGCCCCTCCAGTGCTCGACGGCGGACTCGCGTGGCGGCTGTGCTCGGGCGCCGAGCGCGCGCAGGGAACACACACTCGCGCTCTCCTCGTTTCATCGCTGCCCACAGTCAACCTGTGCAGTTAGGATGTGCGATGAGGGAAGGCCGTGTCGAAGCCTTTTCGAGCGGGGCGCGGCCAACTACAGTGGTCAAGGATGGGCCGAGGAGGCAGGGATGCAAGGGCACCCTTGGGAACCTTGCCCATCCTTACCATGCGGGTCGACTGCACTCCTCGTTTCATCGTTGCCTATTCCAGGCTGCCGCAGCCCGCTGGACACCGTGACGCACTTGATGGTGGGCACTCTACCGGCAACATGGCACAAGCTGGGTCGCTGGAGGCTAATGACACAGTGTGGCCTTGCGCGTACCCATGCTTCATCCCGCATCCCTTGGGTTCTGCTGACTGCGCAATGGCCCCCACTTTCGTCGGCTCCTGGGAGGTTCAGTGGAGCGCGGCCTGACGCGGACCCAAGCTTGACCTCGCCTCTCTGGGATGTCCAGCGGAATGGTTTCCTTCGCGAATCCGAACTAGACCTACCTCGATCTTCGAGGGTGCTGCGTGCAGATATCGCCACTTTGCTGCGTCCCGGGGGCTGGAATCAATAGAGTGGCGTATCACGCAAGTTCAACCTCGACCTCGGTTTCCGTGGGGGATGCCAGGAGTCCAACTCCCACCACTTTGCTGTGCCCCTGGGGTCCATTCGAGTGACGTGGTACGCAGGTCCGAAGCAGTCTCAGGCTTGGTGCGTTCCTGCATCATTGACGCATCAGGGAACAATTCGTCACCATTGCACCCCTCCCTCTCCGCCTTCAATGTTATCCCCTATCTCTTCCTGATCCTCGTCCCGTCCTCGCCCAGATTCTTTCGTTTTTCCAATCGTGTCTCCCCTCTTCGTCGTCGCCCTTCGCTTCTTCCCCCCTTCATCCCATTCCCCCTGATCTTGCCCCACACGGGCCCACATGGGGCGTGGAATGCCACGCCTTCCTATTTCGTTTACACCAGGGGTGGGGGGTGGGGGCGCGTGCACGCCTGCTCTTGCCATCATTCGATTTCTTTCAAGATTTGCCTGCCCCACTGCTGGTGCTTGCACCTAAGAGGTTCGCACTTCAATCCCCAAGGGAACTGCGTGGACCCGCCGAGGTTTCGCCACGTCGCCGCCCGTGGCCGCCCACTGGGGGGGACCCGCCGAGGCTGCACCGCGTCGCCGCCCGTGGTCGCCTCGTGGCCGAATCGTGGCCGCTCACCTCGGGGGGGGGGGTCCGCCGGGGCTCCACCACGTCGCCGCCCGTGGCAGCCTCGCGGCCGCCCACTCGAGGGGTCCGCCGAGGTCTCACCACCCAGTTGCCGCCCACTCGGGGGGTCCGCCGAGGTGTCGCTTGCTGCCTCGTTACCCCCTGGGGGGGTCCCCGCCGAAGAGTCGCCGTGTTGCCGCCTCGTTGCCGCCTCGTTGCCGCGCCACCGCGCAGCTTACGCAACATCGCTTGCGCAACACGACTTACAGACAGACAGACAGACAGACAGACAGACAGACAGACAGACAGACAGACAGACAGACAGACAGACAGACAGACAGACAGACAGACAGACAGACAGACAGACAGACAGACAGACAGACAGACAGACAGACAACACAGCTTACACCACATCGCTTTCACCACCACATAGCTTTCGCCACTCAGAAAACACCACATTGCCTGCACCGCATTGCTTGCACCACCGAATTTGCACGACATAGCTTACGCATCCACCGTGCATTTACTTAATTACTGCTTGGGGTCCACGAGGGCTAATACATACATGTGACATGCATGTAATGCTATCCGTCCACATGCCATCATTGTTTTTCAATGCGCCCGTCGATGGTGCCACTTACTGCAAGCGGGTTGGGCACGTCCCTGGGAATCTCAATTGCAAACCGTGCGAGGACGGCCACACACAACGGAGGTCAACAGAAGCACGGTCGATGACGGCACGGTCGGCCGCAGCAGTCAGGTCACCGAGCCGAGCCCATACAGGGGACCATCAGGCCGCTACGGCAAAATCGTGTCGTGACGACCCCGGCGTTGGTTTCTGACACCGCGTGGATCGTGAACCTTCTTCTCGCTCGCCAGATCGACCCGTCTTGGCCGATTCTGGCCCTTTTGGCGGCGTTCAACCTTGAACGACCTTTCCAGGCCCGCCGCCGCGTCGACACGACGCGAACCTGCCGTACATCGGGACCCTGTCGTGGCACAGAACGCCCTCGAGGCCCAGAAGGTGCCGGGCGCCCTCATCGTCGAACGCCCGCGCCAGTGCCGCCGCCACAGGCTCGAGCGGATGACGCCTGGACACGGGGACGCGCTGAGCGTGTCGCGGCGAAGCGTGGTGGGCCAGCACCGGCGGCGCGGCACGCTAAGCAAGAGCTCTTGATCCTAAATCTTCGAAGGTCCGCGCGGACTCCTTGGATCGGCGCCGGACCCCCCTCCCTGGCGCGCGGAGCGCGCCAGGGGCGGCGCCTTCTGATCCGCGCGGGCCTCCGTGCGAAAAATACAAGCTTAGACCGCTGTGCTTCTTTTTCGAGCCAAGCCCCTAACCCATCCGCCTTCCCTCTGAGGTCAACTCTTCATCCTGAGCCGTTCTGTTGACCGTCCCGTGGCCCGTGGAGGGCGCAGAGAAGCCCCAAGCGTGGAAAAACCTCAAGGCCCGTTTCTCTCAGGACCCCTTTCGACCTTGGGTTAGCCGATCTCCAGCCCCACTGGCACGGCCTTGGCCCCGCCACCACCAAAGGTGGGGACACATGCTGCTCTCTGCGGGCTTCGCGGAGCCTATGCCTACCTGGGGGTAGGCTGGTGGGGCTGTGATACCATTAGGTCGGGCATGTCCTCCTACGGGGGGGGGGGTTGGGCGAAAAATAAAAAATAGCCCCCCAAAAGATCAAACATTTAAAAATCAAAACGTCCCCTTTTTATTGTCTTACTATTTTTGAATATTTCTCCTGTAGAGGGACAGGCCCAACTTAAAGATACCATGGCCCCGTCGGAATGGGGATCGGTCAGCCCGGCGGCCCCACGAGCAGGCGGCAAGCTGGCTTCTCGCCACCTGAAGAGGGGGCCCCCGCAAAAGGCCGCCGATCGGCTGCGGTGGTGCCCCTGGGCAAGACCCAAACTCGGCGGCGAGCTGGGGGTGGAAGTTAACAGGGGCGGGCCTTCTCAGAAGGCTCAGAAGTCCCCCGGCCTTTTGTTAAGTTCTCTAAGCCTTCCCGAAAGACACAGAAGGACGGAGGCCTTCTGAGAAGGCCCGCCGCCTTCCTTCTGAGTTCCTCCCCTCGCTCGCCGCCGGAGTGGTGACCCTGGGCAAGACCCAAGCATCCAGGATGGAATTGCTAAGCTTTGCTTCCAGGCCATCCCCTGCTCAGGGCCGCTCTCCCACACTGCCGGCGCACGGGGCATGGCCGGGGCGTGGCACGGGCAGGGTGCTGCCGCGCCGGGAATGCGCCGGGATGCGCGGACGCGGCCGCAAAGCGCGCCTGCGCCACGTGCAGCCAGGCACACGTGCGCGAGTAGACGCAGTCGAGCTCGGCGAACCGGTCCTGGCAGCACGCGGCCGACTCCGGGGACCCCGATAGGGGAACGAACAATGGCACAAGCATAAAAGCTCGGAGGTCCGCGCGGATTTCTCGGATCCGCGCTGGACCCCTCTGGCGGCGCCTCCGGCGCTGCCCCTGGCGCGGGAGGGGGGTTGAGCGCCGATCCGAGAAATCCGCGCGGACCTCCGGGATTTTTTGTTCATGTCATTGTCCGTTCCCCTACCAGGCTGTCGGATATGCCCTGGCTCGAATTGCCCTGCTCGAGTGGCAAAAGAAGCGTGGGCAGCGCCAGGATCGGTATCTCCGCGTGCGCCGGTAGAGAGACAGAGGGCTTGATCTCTGCGTGAGCCCAAAGAAAGGGAGGGGGAGAGAGAGAGAGAGAGAGCATGAGCCCACACAAGCTCAAGTGGACATCTCCTGGGGGTCCATCTGCGGATTCCGCCGCCCTTCCCGCCGGCCTTCCGCTGGCGGGGCCACCCCCTCCTGGCCATCGTCGCTCGGACGTCCATTCCTTGTGCTTCTTACGGTTTCGTGCGTGGTTTTTTTCGCCAAATGATCAAGGATGCTCCTCGATGGTCCTCGCGAAGGAAAAATGCACACGTCCGAGCGATGCCAAGCCTCCTTTACGTCCGCCGCCGTTCGCCGAGGGCGAGGCGCGCCCCCTGCGAGGCCCGCTCTCTGGAGCGCCTCGCGTGGAGCCGGATGGCTCGGAGCCCGTCGTTTTTTCCGGAGGCGGGCGACGGGTGTGCCTAGGGGGCCAGGGGGCCACATGCGAACCCTGCTCCTACACCCCACGAGTTCTGAGGGGGAGGGTGGGGTTCAGAGCGAAGTGAACCCCACCCTCCCCCTCAGAAATCGTGGGTGGTAGGGGTACGGTTCGCATGTGGCCCCCTGAGTGCCGAGAGCGCTGGCCTCTGGGGAACAACGGAGGCAGGTGAGGGAGCTGCGAGCACGGGTTGCGCAACTCAGGTGCGGCAGGTGGCACTCGCATCTCATGTGCTCAGCCCCTTGTTGGCAGGGGGGCTGCGGGGAAGAGATGGAGCGGACACCTCAGGACGACAAACTCGGCGAAACGAACGACACTTTTTGGACTCACGCCACACACCGTGCAGTCGGAAAAACGAGAAACTTGTTTGATCCGCGGGTCGAGAGCGCACCTCTTCCCGTCGAAGCTAAGCGGGCCGCGCGAAGGGTTCGGGGGCCAACGATCGACCCCGGGGCCTCCCTATAGGGAACGTCGTGCCGGCCAGAGTTTCGGGTCGACGACGGCGAGCTCGGGGAAATGCGTCTGCGGCAGAACGAGCAGTGCCACGGTGGCCCCGCTGGCCGTGTTTACACAGGAATTCAGGCTACGTCGAGCTGAGTCGCCGCGCCTCTGCAGCGGGAGCAGGCGCCACCTGGACGGGTTGCTGTTTGCTGGGGCTGCCGTTGAGGGCTGCTGTTTGCTGGAGCAGGTTGTAAAACTAATTCGTTGGGGCTGCCGTTGCGGGTTTCAGGGGTGTCCCCTGCGTCATGGCTCGTAGCCGTCGCCAGTGACTCGGGCCCTGCCTTGGATATCAAAGGGGTGGGGGTCCTGGCCCTCCTGGTGGAGACGTCGTCTGCCTGGCCGTTCGGCTCGTCCCTCGTCTTCTTGAAGGCATCGGGGCTTATAGCCCCAAATTGGTGAGCGTTTTCTTATTCGGCGTTTCGACACTGGGCGGAAAGGAGGGGGGGAGGGGTGTCTGGCTCCGAACCTCTGCTTCGCACGAATGTTTGCAACAGTGCGTCTTCTGGGGGACCTGGGAGACGCCACCTGCTTGAAACAGGCGCACAGAACAGCAACGATCTACTCCATGGGGGGAGGAGGGGGGTGCGAGGGCCCGCGCCGATGGGCAAAACAATGAATAACCCGCCGATCCAGCGCGTGAGCTACAAGGAGCATCAGCAAGCTCTGCGTGGGGGGGGTGTCGCCGGGGTGGCTCTGCCAGGGAAAGGGGGGGAGGGGGGGGTCCTCCACCTGGTGTTTTCTTAATGATTTGCGCATCCCCAAGATGTGTCGAGGGGTCCCAGGGACCCCCCCCAGGACTCTCCCCTCGGAACCCTCCCCGGACCCCCGCCAGGGAAGGGGGGGAGGGGGAGGGGGGGCGGTCCACCATCTGGCGTTTCCATAATGATTTGCGCATCCCCAAGATGTTTCGGGTGGTCCCAGGGACCCCCTTCAGATCTAGCCGCTACCCCCCCCAGGACTCTCCCCTCGGAACCCTCTTCGGACCCCCGCCAGGGAAGGGGGGGAGGGGGAGGGGGGGCGGTCCACCGTCTGGCGTTTTCATAATGATTTGCGCATCCCCAAGATGTTTCGGGGGGTCCCAGGGACCCCCTTCAGATCTAGCCGCTACCGCCCCCAGGACCCTCCCCTCGGAACCCTCCCCGGACCACCCCCAGGACCGCTCCAGGCACCCCCCTCTGCAAAGGGCACGTCAGCTCCAAAAAGCGTCCCTGAAGACTCCAAGAGCGCCCTCCCTCCCAAACAGCGTCCCAGACGACTCCAGGATCACCAAATCCGGAGCCCTCCAGATCGTCAGCACTGGCCGGAGGCCATTACATTAAGAAAAACGATCACCTGACTGACGGCAGGTAGTGTTAGGTCGGGCGTGTCCCCCTAAAGGCGGATTTTGGACGAAAATTTTAAAAAATTCAAACATACTCGAAAATAGTCAGAAATCGTCCCGGGACTATTTTTTGTCGTCTCCTCCTGTAGAGGGACAGGCCGACTTCAATGCAATGCTTCGGTGGGCAGGTCGGTGCCAAAGGCTGCACCGCCGAGGCACGGACCAACGCCGCGCTGCTGGTGAGGGCCGAGCCTCCGCTCGAAGAGGCACGTGAGCTTACGACAACGATCACCTGACTGACGGCAGGCAGTGCTTCGGTGGGCAGGTCGGTGCCAGAGGCTGCACCACCGAAGCACGGACCGACGTCGCGTCGCCGGCGGAGACCGAGCCTCCGCTCGCAGAGGTACGTGCTCGCGCTGCCAGGGCCAGGCCCTCGCTCGACACCGGTTCCCCTCGGCAGGCCAGGGCCTGGCCTTAGGTCGGGCACGTCCCCAAACATGTTCAAAACATACAAATTATCCCAGCGCGACCCTACCTAGGAGTTGGAGCCCCTAGGAAAACAACATAAGCTAAGCTAAGCTAAGTTCAGCCAAGCTAAGCTAAGCTAAGCTAAGCTAAGCTACGCTAAGCTAAGCTTTGATGAGATAAGCTAAGCTAAGTTGAGCTAAACTAAGCTAAGCTAAGTTAAAATAAGTTAGGCAAGGCTCGGCTAAGCTAAGCTAAACTGAGATAAGCTAAGCTAAGATAAGCTAAGCTAAGCTAAACTAAGCTAAGGTAAGCTAGGCTAAGTGAAGGTGAGATGAACTAAGCTAAGCTAAGCTAAGCTACGCTGCGCTAAGCTAAGCTAAGCTTAGCGAATAAGCTAAGCTGAGCTGAGCTAAGCTAAGCTAAGCTAAAGTAAACGAAGCTAAGCTGAGCTAAGCTCAGATAAGCTAAGCTAAGCTAGGCTAGGCTAAGCTGATCTAAGCTAAGCTAGGCTAGGCTAGGCTAGGCTAAGCTACGCTAAGCAAAGCAAAGCTAAGCGAAGCAAAGCTAAGCTAAGATAGCTACGCTAAGCTGAGGTAAGCTAAGGTAAGATGAGATAAGCTAAGCTAAGTTGAGATAAGCTTAGCTAAGCTAAGCTAAGCTAAGCTGGGCTAGGCGATGCTGAGCTAAGCTAAACTAAGCTAAGCTAAGATGAGATACGCTAAGCTAAGCTAAACTAAGCTAAGGTAAGCCAGGCTAAGCTAAGTTGAGATAATCTAGACTAAGCTAAGCTAAGCTAAGCTAAGCTAGGCTAAGCTGGTCTAAGCTAAGCTAGGCTAGGCTAAGCTAAGCTAAGCTAAGCTAAAGTGAGATCAACCAAAGCTAAGATAAGACAAGCTGAGCTAAGCTAAGCTAAGCTAAGGTAAGCTAAGGTAAGGTAAGCTAAGCTACGCAAAGCTAAGCTAAGCTAGGCTCTGCTAAGCTAAGCTAAGATGAGATAAGCGAAGCTAAGCTAAGCTAAGCTAAGCCAAGCTAACCCTCTAGGCAGAGCCTGAGTAGGGAACCCCGGTTGCCGCGGGAACCGCGGGGCGGATCCTGGGGGAACCGCCCGGGGCGATATCCACTGCCCGGCACCTTCAAGATACAGGGTAAGAACCCTTCCAGGCCGAGCCTAGCTAGGGAAAAAATGTGAAAACATCGTCCCTGGACTATTTTTTCCTATTTTTGAACGTTCCTTCTGTAGAGGGACAGGCGCGACTTACGCCTGGCCCCCCCGCTCGACTCCTGGCCTCTCCGGGCGTTCGGGGCCCAACCTCCAGTCGACCTCGGGCCCGAATGCGAATTTATGTGGCTCCCATTGTACTTCAGGAGCACGTCCCAGAAGCAATCTCGAGCACCCCGGAAAGCATCGGAACGGTGTCGAGCGAGTACCGCCTCCCAGGGGCCCGACGCGTGAAAGCCCTCCAGATTCGGAACTTTCTTGGTGCTCGAAATTATTTCTGGTGATGGCTGAAGTAGGTTTTGTTGCTCCAAGGCGCCACTCACCGTGTTGCCACAAAGTTCAATAGCGTCAAGCTGGTAAGTACAATTACAAGCACTGTATACGCTCTGCCAATTGCATGATAAAAGCGATGGTTTCGTCGAGAGCGGTTACCTCCGCGTGAAAAGCCGATTGGGCAACCGGGATCAGAATCCCTCTTGCGCCGACTAGCTTGGCGTGAAAGCGCTCACCGTTCCATGCTGTAGCAATCACCACGAACGCCGCAGCGCCGTCTCCCACCTGGTAGCCGCCGTCGCAGAGAACGTGCACTTGGCGACGTAGTCCGCGGCTGCGTTGACTTCCCTCGGCCTCCAATCAACGGGGTCCAGGAAGCCCGCTTTGTAATCGAAAGACGAACAAAATAGCATAGCGATGCGTTGTCTGATGCGATCCAGCGGCACGCTGTAGAACTCATTCGTGATACCTGCAATGCCATTTGCCACACCAGCAACGGATTGGAACATCATAAATCCAGATAATCTTCAGATGGTGCCCCGATCCTGGATTCGAAGGTTTCCCCCTTGGCGTGTCAGGCCTGTGGGCCTTGGGCGAGGGGTGCACGAATTCTTTAGCCCGAGCTTTGTGAGGACCGTCTCCTTCCACTGGGTCAGGGAGTGGTCGACGTACTGTGACGTCCTGACTTCCATGGCCGTGCTCATGGCGAATTTCATGATAATGGTCGCTGTCACTTGCGCCTTCGGCTGAAAAACCGTGTTTTACATGGTACATGCCTCTGGTAGGTTGGTGCTTATCTGACCGAGATCTCGTAGCTCAGCTTCTGGCCCATCATCCCAACCTGGACGGATGCCGATCCCAGCAAAATCGAGAGACGAGACCTTCCCAGCATTACTCGCAATGGCATGTCAGTTCTGTTAAACACGCAACCCTACACCAAGAGTGATAAGGAGGAAGAGAGAAGAAAACAAATAATGGTAGAGAGAGGGAGAGAGAGCACGGGATATAGAGAGAGGGAGAAAAACACATACTCGCGGGCCTGCGCCCGACTCTTCAGCGAACGCTCACGCGAATTAAGATGGCTCCTCCAATATGTGGTGACCGCGGCGACAATAGCTTCCGCCAAACAGTCAGCAGGCGTCGGCAGTTGAAAGCGGCGGGGAGAACTGTAATAACGACTTTCCTGTTACTCGCTCTCCTCTCTCTCCTCGTCGTCGTCGTCGTCGTCCTCCTCCTCCTCCTCCTCCTCCTTGTCCTCGTCCTCGTCCTCCCTTTCGTCCCACCTCCTGATCCTCCCCCTCATCCTCCTCCTCCTCCTACTCATCTTCCCTCATCCTCCTCCTCCTCCTCCTCCTTCTCCTCCTCATCCTCATCATTTGGCGGCGCGCAGAATGGGGTAGGGCGAGGGGGGAAGGCTTCTTAGAGTGAGGTTGCTTATTAGAAGGCGGCGGCCCTACATCTACAGATCAGGCCCGCGCGTTCTAAGAAGCAGGGGCATTTCTAAGCAGCCCTCCCCAATCCCCAATATCTCCCCTCTGCACGCGGCTGAGTCCCACCTTCTCCTCCCCCACCTCCTCGCCCCTTCCCCTCTTCCTCCTCCTCCTCATCCTCCTCCTCCTCCACCTCCTCCTCCTGCTCTTCTCCCTCCTCCTCTCCTTGCTCCTCCTCTTATTCCTCCTCCTCCTCCTTCTCCTCCTCCTCGTTTTCTTCCGCCTCCTCCTCCTCCTCCTCATCCTCCTCCTCCTCGTCCTCCTCTCTGATCCTCCTCCTCCTCCTCCTCCCTCCATCCTCCTCCTCTCTCCTCCTCCTCCTCCTCCTCCTCCTCAGGTCCTCCTCCTCCTCCTCCTCCTCCTCCTCCTCCTCCTCCTCTTCCTCCTCCTCCTCCTCCTCCTCCTCCTCCTCCTTCTCTCCCTCCTCTTCGGCCGTTGCAGCCAAAACCCCCAGCCAGCGGGCGCACCCACTGCGGCGCTCCTGCAGCACGCAGAGCTCCCAGTCTGCCATGGCGAGCGCCTCGCGGTGGGGTGCCAGCGCCACGTCCTTAAGGAGGGCTGCGCGCCAGGGCTGGGGCGGGGGGGGGAGGGAGGCTGGGCAGAAGGAGGAAGAGGAGGACGAGGAAGAGGGAAAGGGGGAGAAGGAGAAGGAGAAGGAGGATGGGGAGGATGATGATGGGGACGAGTAGGAGGAGGAGGAGGCGGAGGAGGAGGAGGAGAAGGAGGAGGAGGAGAGGAGGAGGAGGAGGAGGAAGAGGAGGAGAAGGAGGAGGAAGAAGAGGAGGAGGGGGGGAGGGGGGGGGGGAGAGGAGGATGAGAGGAGGAGGAGGAGGAGGAGGAGGAGGAGGAGGTGAGGAGGAGGAGGAGGAGGAACAGGAGGAGCAGGAGGAGGAGGAGGAGAAAAAATAGGAAAAAGAGAAGGAGAGAGAGGAGTGCCGGACACGAGAGTGCGGCCTCATCGCAGAACGGGCCGCCTTCCACCCCCACACGGGGAGACCCCCCTCACGTGCAAGGGAGGCTGCTCGCTCATCGGCGAGGAGCTCTCGCAACACGGTCGAGGTACAGGTCAACGCCGTCGCCCCGTGACTCGCTACTCATAAGTGATGGGGGTGGTGCGTAGGGGGACGGTCGGCTCACCTCCTCACTGCGAGGTCCTTTCCGACGATCCACCCCTGCCAAAACATATGACACGTGCAACTGGCTTGGTGCCCCATGCCCCAGGGCGAGTAGGCACGACAGCCCCATGGGACTTGACCACACGGCCCGTCACTCCACCAAATGTTCGATCCCCCGGCCTGGCCTGGAAGCTCAAGGTGGCTCCAGCGTCACGGGCGCAGCTGCGCGCCACGGCCCTGGGCAAGGTGCCGCGAGGCGGGACCCAACAAGACGAGCCAGCATGCTGACACCAAACCGTGAAGCGCAAATGGCGTTGTCAATGTCCCCGCGGCGAAGGGCCGAGCACCAGGATACGGTACCCAGCAGAGCAGTAACTGCCCCCCCCGCCGCGAGGGGGTCGAGAAGTAAGGGGAGGAGGAGGAGGAGGAGGAGGAGGAGGAGGAGGAGGAGGAGGAGGAGGAGGAGGAGAAGGAAGAGGAGAAAGAGGAGGAGGAGGACCACCAGGGCAACCCCAGGACTAGGGGCACATTTCGCTCCTCCTTCAGACGCCCGCCGCCACGCACGCCGGAGGTTTGGCGCCCACCGCCCGCTGGGGAGGCGGTGGCAGAAGTACCCCCGTGGAGGCGGTGACGGGGGCACCCTGCGGAGGCGGTGCCAAGACTTACATATTTTGAAGGAGAAGACGGGAGCGGACAACGTGCTTCCACAGCTGGCGCCAAAGCGTGGATGCCGCCACACGCCGACAAAAATAAACTAGTCCAGAGGCATCGGGATGAAAGAGGCGAGGTGCGGCCCGAGCAAAACAACGGTTGCATTTGAACACCGCTTCCTTCCCCACGTCTAAGGACGTGCCGTCGAGACGGTGCCCAGACGTCCAACGTCTTGAAAACACAACTTTATTTGGTCGTCGACGTCGGCCTCTGGGGGCCCCCGCCGAGCTCTGGGATTGTCAAAGCACGGCTCAGGTCAAAGAGCCGGCCCGGGGGAAAGAGTCGGGGTTTCCCGGAGCACCGTATTGAAAAGATCTGGACACCGGATGCCTGGGAGGGCACCTCGGAGGGGCTGTGGCCCAGGGGGGCGGTGGCGACAGCTCTTTGGGGAGGTGGTGGCGAGAGCAACCCTGGAGACCATAAGTGCCATCGCCGGCGCGCTTTCTTTCGCTGCGCGCGCTCCCCTTCTGTCCGATGACTTCCAATCCTCTTTTGTCTGAGAATTCCTCTCCATACTTCCGCCGCCAGGGCGATGCGATCCCAGCTGATCCCTGCTGCCCTGCAGCCCCGAAAGCGGGCCGGACCGACGGGCGAACCCGGAGGCCATCGGGGCCAACAGGCGGCAACGGCGAGGCCACGACGCAACAGCCGACCTGACCGAGCCGACTGACGGCAGCTGGCTGCGAAGCGGCCGAACCGACCGAGCTCCAGTCACCTTTGAGACTATCGGTGAAGAGAGGCGTTCGGTGCTTTTTCCGCTTTGGCCGAAAAAAAGGAGGAGGAGGAGGAGGAGGAGGAGGAGGAGGAGGAGGAGGAGTGACACTTGCCGGGAGGAAATGCAAGGAGCGCCGCAATGGAAGGCAAGTAACCGCACCGCCCACCCGCAACGAAGAGCCTTATCGATATAAGTCCGCACCCCTCAAGGTGGCCTTCAGCAGGCACCCAACTACGCAGAGTTACATTCACACCGACACAAACCACGCATCGCAGTCTGCCCAGGTGGCAGGATGGCGCAGATATCCCAGACGGCACGAGCACTGCAGAACCCGCTCCGGCACCTGGCACCACAAGACGAGGCGGAAGAGGAGGCAGAGGAGCAGGGCAGGCGAAGGAGGCAGCCGACCGGCAGCGAACTCGGACCTCGTCATGCGGGCACGCCCCGACGGCGCGCAGCGGGCCGCGCCCCTCCCCGACCGAGTTTGAGAGGGGCCAGGGCCGCCGTGAAGGCCGCGTGGAAGCAGCGGCACCAGGCGACCCTCCCGCAACGGACCGGTGCCCCGCGCCCCCCGACCGAGTTTTGAGAGGGCCGTGGAGGCCGCGGGGAAGCAGCGGCACCGGGCGACCCTCCCGCGACGGGCCGGTGCCCCGCGCCCGCCCCTGCGCCCTCCCCGGGGCGCCACGGCCCGGGCCACGCCCGTCGGCGGCCGCTCCGGCAGGAGCCAGCGCGGGCGATCGACAGAACCCAGTGCGCATGTCCCCCTACAGGCGGGTTTTAAAAGACAAATCAAACATAGTCTAACAAATAACCAACCATAGACAGGAATAGCAAAAACAAATCATCCCCAGAATATGACCTGGGATCTTCCTCCTTCAGATGCACATGCCCGCCTTAAACTTCGGGGCCGACTGCTCCCAGAGTTGCGAGGTCCTCCGAGCCAGCGCTGCCTGCTGCATGCTGCCGCCCCGCCGCTGCTGCTCCCCCTGTCGCCGCCTACCGCTGCTGCTCGCTGCTGCCCATGCCTCGCGCGAGCCGCACCGCACAGGGAGGAGGAGGAGGAGGAGGAGGAGGAGGAGGAGGAGGAAGGAGGAGGAAGGAGGAGGAGGAACGAGGAGGAAGGAGGAGGAGGAAGGAGGAGGAGGAACGAGGACGAGGAGGAACGAGAGGAGAAGGAGGAAGGAGGAGGAGGAGGAGGAGGAGGAGGAGAAAGGAGGAGGAGGGGGGTGGAGGAGGGAGGAGGAGGAGGAGGAGGAGGAGGAGGAGGAGGAGGAGGAGCGCGAGGAGGACGAACAGGAGGAGCCGCTCCCACGGTCGGGCACTGTTGCTTCGCGTGTCACAGCGGCGGCCCCGGCGACACGCTGTACCGCGCAAGCCGACAGCGTGCCGCTCCGCTCATGCGGGGCGGGAGGCTTTGAGCAGCTCGGGACGTGGTCGCTGGGGGACCGGGGAGTGGGTAGCGTGTCGCGCCGACGCGTGGTGGGCCAGAACCCGCGGAGCGACACGCTACCCAAAAGTTCCCGACTGTATGCCCCCTCCTCACCCCCCCGCGGGTGCGTGAGCATGCGGCCGCGGCGCTCGCTTCGGCACGCCCGCGCCGCAGCGCCATGCGCTGCAGGCGACTGCACAGTTTTGCACCCTTCGCCGAGCGAGCTCACAGACTTCCGACGCAACGTTTTTCCCAGCCTCTGCTCTCCGCATGCCCATCTCGGTACATCCCTCACTCGCTTCGTGGTCCCGTAGGGAGCTCCACCGCAGGTCCCAACGGCAGCGCCTGTATGGCGCCACCGCGCAATATTGGCGAACCACCCACACGTTTCGTAGGGAGTTCCGCCGAAGGCCCCAGCGGCAGCGCCGGCATGGCGGCGCCGCCCAAGATTGGCACACCCCTTACACGTTGCGTGGACCCGCAGGGAGCTGCACAAAAGCCCCAGCGGCAGCGCACGCATGGCTGCGCCGCCCCATGTTGGCACACCATCCACGCGTGTCGTGGACCCACACGGAGCTCCACCGAAGGCCCCAGTGGCAACGCCCGCATACTGGCGCGTGTAAAAGTGATTCGCGGCGTCGATGTCCCAGGAATGGTGTTCTGGCACAGGTCAAGATTTCCAAAGGACCCTCTCCTCCTCCTCCTCCTCCTCCTCCTCCTCCTCCTCCTCCTCCTCCTCCTCTTCCTTCTCCTCCTTCTCCTCCTCCTGGACTCCTCTACCTCGAACCTCGATCCCCCGCCCAGCGGGACAGCGGCTCCTGCCGGCTCTCGTCGGAGGACAGCGCCAGAAGCATCTGCGCGAGGGCGGTGCGCATGCCCCTGAGCTCCTCGGGGGCGACGGCGGCGACGGCGGCGGCGGCGGCAGCGACGACGACGACGACGACGACGACGACGACGACGACGACGACGACGACGACGACGACGGCGGCGTCCGACGGCGACGTCCGACGACGACGAGCGCTCGCCCAGCGGCCAATGGCGTGCGCGGCGCGCGCGCGCGTGGGGGAGCGCGCGCGTTTTGGCGATCTGAGTACGTTTCTGGAGGGTATCGTCGCCGCACCTCGAAGACCTGCCAGGACTGAGCCTGGGAGGGATCCCTCCGAACGACGGTGACGGCGACGACGGCGGCGATGCCGGCGACGACCAGGCCGAAGACGGCAGCGACGAAGCTCGGGGATTTCTCGCCCTCGCCCTCGCCCTTCCTGCGCCTCCCAGGGAGGAGGAGGAGGAGGAGAAGGAGGAGGAGGAGGAGGAGAAAGAGGAGGAGGAGGAGGAGGAGGAAGAGGAGAAAGAGGAGGAGGAGAAAGAGGAGGAGGAGAAAGAGGAGGAGGAGGAGGAGGAGGAGGAGGAGGAGGAGGAGGAGGAGCGGGGTTCGAGGTTCCTGGACGGCCCTCGCCCTACGTGGCCTTCGGGGGAGCCTCCCGTCGCCACGGCCGAGCCCGGCCCCGAAGTCCGCGCCTAACTGGCGGCCCCCGGGGACGTCCAGGCGCCGGCGTGTGAGGGGTACTCCTCGGCAGGCAACGGCCAAGGGAGGTCGCCACGAGGGGGGCCCCGCCTCTTCGAGGAGCAGGCCCTCCCAAGAGCCCCTCCCCCACACTCCATGCGCCCCCAGCACGCACGTACACGTTCTTACACACACACACACACGCACACACACACACACACACACACACACACACACACACACACACACACACACACACACACACACACACACACACACACACACACACGCAAACACACACACACACACACATACACACATGCAAACACACATACATGCACACACACACACACACGCTCGCGCACGCACGCACGCACACGCACGCACGCACGCACGCACGCACGCACACACGCAAACACACACACACACACACACGCACACACACACACACACACAAACACACACACGCACACACACACACACACACACACACACAAACACACACACGCGCGCACACATATACAAAACAGAAAAAACTCCTCGGCTCTCGATCCACAAACCTCGATGCTCAGCAGGAGCTGGGGACCAGGTGGTGACTGCCGCTTGACCTGGCAGCTAAGTGTGAGGGGGACGCAACAAATGCATTCCTTCTACCATGTTGCGCACGAAACATGCCGTGCAGTAGCTCTCGCGTCCCGCAGCGCAGACGGCGGCGGGCTGCAAGCTGCAAATTCCACGGCAAGGACGCACGGGGTAGACGTGCCAAATCTTCCCCGCTCACTTCCGCTGCGACTGTGACCACCCTCGGCCTTGCCTGAGCTGACGAGGCCGACAACGAGGACGGAGCCGAGGCCGGCGACAACGACGACGACGGGGATGATGGCGAGGCCGAGGGCGGGGGCGGCAGAGACGACGACATCGTCGACGAGGTGGGGGCCCCTCCTCCTCCTGATCCTGATCCTCCTGCTCCTCCTGCTCGCCCTCTCTCCCCATTTCCCTCCTCGTCCTCCTCGTCGTCGTCGTCCTTCTCCTCCTGCTCCCTTCTCCTCCTCCGCCTCACTCCCCCTCCTCATCCTCTTCCCTTCTCCTCATCCTCGCTCTTCCTCCTCCATCCCTGCTCCTGGTAAACAGCTCCTCCCTGTCGCACCTCCAGACGTGTCGGGAGGGCGGGCTGGGCGTTTCGCCTGAGACTTTGTCACTGCTGATGAGCGTTAAGTTTGAGTTTCGCATTCGTTTCAAGGATGGAGCACAGGTTGCGGTCAAAAGGTGGCCCTCACGTTCGCACCGCACACCTTCCTCTTTAAATCCCTGAACAATTTCAAGCGTGGATGCGGGGTCGTTCTCAACATGTAGCTCTCGCCTTAGCGCCGTGAGCCTTCGTCTTAAACTGCCACCTTTCAGGATTGAGAAGGGCCGCTTCCAAAATAGACTCTCGCCCTAGCGTCCCCCACATTTGTCTTACATGTTTGTAACGGTTTCAAAGATCGAAGGCGCTTCCTGTTCAAAATGTGGTTCTCGCCTGGGTGCCGCGCGCATGCGTCTCAAACATGCGCAACCGCTTCAAGGACGGAAGGGGGTCAATTTGAAACAATTGCTATCGCCCCAGCGCCGCGCGCATTCGTTTTCAATGCGTGCAGCTGTTTCAAAGACGGAGGGGGGCCTTTCAACATGGAAAGATTGCCCCAGCGCCGCGCATCTTCATTGAGGGTTCGACAGCTGCAGGGGTGGACCACCTTCCCCTTCAAAGTGGAACGCTCACCTCAGCGCTGAGCTGGTTCGTCTTCAACGGTCGCCATGCTTAGGGCGCGTTTCGTGATTTTCAGCCATAATTGGCACTATCGGGGGAGATTCGGTCCCTTTACAACCCGAACGACACTTTACAACCGAGATATGTCATGTTACAACCAGCAAAAGATCGAATTCCCTGGATGTCCTTCGAGAGCGGCCACTTTACAACCAGAACGACCCACTTTACAACCAGAACGACCACTCTACAACCCAGACGGGGAACTTTGCAACCATAACGGCCACTTTGTAACCAGCCTTCAGAAGCGCGCGCGCTCTGCAGGGGCTTCTGGAGCTTCTGAGCGCCTGAATGCTCTGCCAGGCCATCTGAGCGCCTGAGCGCTTTGCAAAGGCTTCTGAGCGCCTGAGCGCGTTGCAAGGGCATCTGAGCGTCTGAGCGCCTGAGCGCTTTGCAGACGCACCTGAGCGCCTGAGCGTCCTGCAGGGGCTTATGAGCGCCTGAGCGCCCTGCAGAGGCCCATGAGCGCTTGAGCGTTCTGCAGAGGCTTCTGGGCGCCTGAGCGCTTGGCGAAAACTTCTGAGCGCCTGAGCGCCCTGCAGAGCTCATGAGCGCCTGAGCTCTTTGCAGAAGCTTCTGGGCACCTGAGCGTTCTGCAGAAACTTCTCCGCGTCTGGGCGCTCTGCCGAGGCTTCTGAGCGCCTGGGCGCTCGGCAGAAGTTCATGAGCGCCTGAGCGCTTTGCAGAGGCTTCCGAGCGCCTGAGCGTTCTGAAGCCTCTGCAAAGCGAGAACAACAAGTGCTTGTGATGCAAAACATACAACTTGGTATCCGAATGCACGGGCTAGAACGTAACCGACGATTTCTTGGGCACGTTCCGCCCTCTTGGGCACGCATGCTTCCGCAACTGCGCAGCCATGCGGTATTGCGACTGCCAGACGATGGGGTACAAGGACAAGCGTGGCCCATGCGGCAACACAAACAATTTGACAACCACACGCGTTGGTTAGGTTTTTACAAGCGGCTTCTTAGCCACATTCCTGCCCTCCTCGGGGCGCGTGCTTCCGCGAATGCGGGAACATGTGGTTTTATTATTGCCAGACGCGCGAGGACGAACATTATTGTTTATGATGCCAAAAACAACACGTTGACATCCACAACTACTGGCCCGAATGTTACGATCGATTTCTTGGCCACGGTTCCGCCCTCCTGGGCACGCATGCTCGCACTTGCGAAAACATACGGTCTTCGTGGTTGCAAGACAATGAGGCGCGGGGACAACATAGTCTATGATACAAAAGACGCAATTTGAAATCCACATGCGTTGGCTAGAACTTAACCAACGAATTCGTTTCCACAGCTCTGCCCTCTTGGATACGCAAGCGACCGCGAATGCGAAACCATACAGTTTTGCTGTTGCCATACGATGAGGTGCGAAGACGAAAATTGACTGTGAGGCCAAATGCACACATTGAAATCCACATGTACCGGCGAGACCGTTACCATCAATGTGTTGGCCGCGTTTCCGCCCTCATGGGCACGCATGCTTCCGCAACTTATGACAACTCCATGCTTTTCGCGATTGCCAGACGATGAGGCGCGATGACAAGCATGGTTGGTGATGCAAACAACACCAAATTGTCATTCACAGGTATTGGCTTCAAAATTGCAAATGATTTCTTGGCCACATTTCTGTTTACCTGGGTGCGCATGCTTCCGCACATGGGAAAGCACACGGCTGCGTCGCCAGGCGATGGGGCGCGAGGGCTAAATATGCCTACGAGGCAAACGATAAAATCAACCTCTTGGCCACAGTTCCGCTCTCCTGGGGTCGCGCGTGTTCCTCTGCGTGAGAACGCTTACTGTTCTCTACGTCCACAAGATGCAGGATTTTCAGGCAGAGATTACGAATTCCCCTCAACAAACGTAAATTGAAGGCATGGGTGTACAAACTTCAACCGCCCAGGCCTATCACCAGCCCGTAGCGGGAGGGTCTTTATTGGAGCTTAAGTTGGTTCCAATAGCTCTTTTTGGATACCACAAGACAGAACAATAGGACGCCAATCGGGGAACGCTATGAGTCAAAGAGGACAGGTTTTTGTTGAGCGGTGGTTTCTGATGGGATCCCACTAGTGTCCCCGTATGTATCGAAACGGAAGGATTACGATTGGATTCCCATGCAATGCCCTTCGTATTCGCCCATATGATTCTGATGGGATTTCAAGAAAGACGGTTCATACTGTTTTCGAATGAGAACGCACAAGAGTACCCACCAGGTTTTCATATAATATCCCCAGTGCGTTTCCCGCAGCATTCCAATAGGAAGGTTTCTCGATTGTACTCCAATGAGGTCCCCAATCGGTTTCCATTCGGATGGGCTCCAACGAGCTTCAATGGGAAGCGTCCTTATCGGATTCCAATAAGACACCCGTAGGCCCCATATCGAAGAATCTTGTTAGATACCAATGGGTTCCATCTGGTGCCAACAGGATCCCCGTGGGAAGGGTGCCAATAGGATTCCACTAGGATTCCTTTTTCGATCCGGTAGGAATCCGCCACTTCACAGATTTTCGCTTCAGACGGATCACTTTACAACAAACACGCTTCAGAGAGCGAAGTGTCTCCCTTACGTGGACCCACGGAGACTTCGGAAATTTGAGAACATGTGTCGCTGATGTGCGTTTACTCGCCTGGTTGTAAAGTGGCCGTCCTGGTTGTAAAGTGCCCTTCTGGGAAAACCCATGCTGGTTGTAAAGTGCCCCATCTGGTTGTAAAACGGCCGCTCTGGTTGCAATGGGACTCACACGCGGGGGGAGGGGGCCGGGGGGGGGGGGGGAACAATGTAACGCCTTCCCCCCCCCGCCGCGTGCCCGATGCGCACGGCGGCGGTGCCCGGAGGGCACTTGGGGGGGGAGGGGCGTTGCGTGAAAAGGGTGGGGACCGGGGGCTGTAATGCCCATGGTGCCCCAAGCAGTCAAGAAACACGCTCTCAGAGGGATGGGGGGCGGCTGCTCTTCAGCGCGGGACTGCTGCTCTCGCCATCGCTCGGACGTCCATTCCCTGTGTTTTTTGTCGGTTTCGTGCGTGGCTTTTTCGCCAAATGATCTAGGATGCTCCTCGATGGTCCTCGCCGAAGGAAACATGCACACGTCCGAGCGATGCCGAGTGCTTGCCAGCGCACGAAACTGGGAGTGCCCACGCGCGCAGGTAGAACTGCACGGCGCGAGGCCCGCTCCCTGTCGGCGTGGGGCTCTCGCTCGGGAGGGCCCCATGCCGACTGCTGTGGCCGCGCGTGGCGCATGGTGCCGCAGCTGGACGGCGGGGGGGGGGCTGCTCTCTCGTGGCGGCGCGCACACAGGCCAGCGAGCGAAAAACGGTATAACATAAACTTTTTCGCCGTCGGGGACACCTGCCCCAGGGCGGCTGGCAAATTTATACCCCTACGGTGCCACCGTAAGGGTATAAACTTTCCAGCCGCCCTGGGGCAGGTGCCCCCGACGGCGAAACAAATTTTTGTTGTACCGTTCTTCGCCCGTTAAACAGGGGGCGGAGGGAGGGAGGAGGGCTTCTTAGGAGGAGGCTGCTTCTTGGAAGGCGCCGGCCGTACATCTGTAGGTCAGGCCCGCGCCTTTGAAGGAGCGGGGGTGGTTCTCAGAAGCCCTCCCCCCTCCCCCCACCCCCCTCTGCGCGTGGCTGACTCTTTGCGACACGAGGATCTGGCTGAACACCTCGTTGAACTGTATGGTCATTTGTGTACGAATACCCTGATTGCGCGCCAGCAAGATGCGAGACAGATCCTTCTCAAGACGCGGCCTTCGCCCAAATGGCATGCCAATGTGGTGCTGGTCTTTGAGAGGGGCGACTCTTGCAGCGAAAAGAACGACATGTATGGACGGGTGACGAAGGGACTTGATGCGGGAGGACGTATTTCACGATCGCTGTTGCATCTTGGGTTTCCTCTGATCCTCGTCTTCCGCTTCGTCCTCATCGCCATCCTTCTTCGCCTCATCCCTCTCCTCCTCCTCCATCCCTGTTCCTTGTCAGTAGCTCCTCCCTGTCGCATTGCAAGCGTCTCGGTAAGGCTGACCCGGCGTTTCGCCTTAGACTTCCGCGCAACGTCTGGCCCAAAAGCTTGACATCGTGCAACCATTTTAAGGATGGAGAAAAATCATTCTCATAACGTGGCTCTTGCGTTGGCCGCGCACAGTCGTCGTAGAATGCTGCAACAATTTTGAAGCATGGAGGGGGTCGTTTTCAAAATGTGGCTCTCGCCCTAGCGCCGCCAACATGAAGCGAACCATGGCACTCACTCCGTTGCCGCCGCACCGCGCGGCCATCGAGGCCAAGACAGAACACGTGGCAGCACCCCCCCAGCAACGCACACTCGCGGAGGTGTGCTAAGGACAAGAAGAGTGCCCAGGAGGGCCCAGCTGGCCCCGCGAGGCCCCAAAACGGCGCCAGGATGGCTCCTGGCACATTGAAGGCACGACCGTGTTGGAAGGATGATGTATGTGAGGGTAAGGACAAGGAGAGGAAGGCGAAAAAGACGAGATTCCCTGACCATGTTGTTCTACCACATGGGGTGTCGATCTGTCAGATGCGTCACTCGAGCGCACCTCACTCGCTGGCTAACCGCGCTGAAAATTTTGGCGGTTAAACGTTCAACGGCTGGGCTACTCCCATCCGAACCATTGCGCGTAGACGTACGTTGTATCAACTGGGCGTGTAACTTGGTATCGTGCTCCATCTTGCGACGTGTAGGAGGCCACCACCTCCACCGGTGCCATTGGGTCAATGAGCACCTCCTCCTCGTAATCGTCTGTCGTGAGCCACCCCGATTGGTATCTATCATTTCCGTCGCCACTGCCTTCGAAAACTAGCCGCTGGCCGTGTATAAAGCCGCCGTCATCGCATGTCACCACGGCCAGACCCCACTTGCAGCTGCCCTTGAGATCAAACTTCTCCGCATCCTGCGATCGAAACTGGAACAGAATAACCTCTCCAGGGAAGCACTTGTCTCTGCGCCGCCCGTGAAACTTGTTTGTAGTCCTGAGAGCGTCGGGGCTGGTGACGTCCTTTGCCAGTGAAGGGTACTCCCCCCGCCGCGCGGCATCAAGAGCCGCGCTACCGCCGCCCTTCTCAACAATGGTATACGCTTCCAACAACGCCCTGAAATTGTCCGCTGTCTCCGCGCTGTCCCCTGCGACATCTGGATGCATTTCGCGCGCAAGGCGCCGAAAAATGCTGCGCACCTTTACTGGGCCTTCGTCCTCAGCGGCGACCAAGATTTCGAGCGCATCCACATAGCTGTTCACTCGCCTTTCCTCGGTAGCACCAGTGGCAAGACAAATGCGCCGCGATGGTCTACACAGCCGAGCAATCGGCAGCCTGTCTCCAACGAAAGCACAATTGTACAGACGGGGTGGCCATGCGCCAAGACACAGCAGGGCCAGAAGCAGTGAACGTACTGAACGGCATGGGCCTGGAAGACAAGTGATGGACATAATAATGCGCCGTTTTTTGAACATCGCCCTCCCAGCACTGCAAGCTCCGTTACTGATGCAACATCCAACACAAGGACTCGCCGAAAAGGTAATGTGCCCAGCAGCTGGTCGGGCTTTGGTCCTTCGGCAAGCACTCATACACTGATCTTTCTTCACAAACACAATATTGATACAACATGGCTACGAGTGACGAGATCACCCAAAGTAGTGGAGGGAGAAACACTGCAAACAAAACACGTACTCGAACAAGCTCCTGCTGTAATCGTGGAAGATAGATGCGCGAATCACCCTTTCGGCCATGCGTGCCTGCACACGGAAGGCCTCAACGACTCAGGATTCGAGCGAGCAATTGCATCCTAGCGCATCCATGGCAACCAACTTCCAGACACATGGGCTTACATCCCATGCCGACGGCATCATATCCGGCACATCGCCGAACCACATAAGATGCAGTAGACATGCAAACATAATAACAGCCCCAGGCACTTCAAGGTTTACCTCGTATAATCGAATATCCTGCACTATTGAAGCTGTGTTCGACAGTACCGAAACCGCCGAAGGAAACAAATGGTAATCAGCGTGGGCCCATAGCAGTAAGTTATTGCACGATCCCTGTGCAAGCTATATGGTGCAAGATATGTGGTGTTAGCTATGTGGTGCAGCTAATTTCTGTTCGCAGTGAGTTGTCCACTCCACTGCTCGCGCAAACATCCCACCCACCCACCCGCAACTTGGCTTGCAAAATCTCTTAAGACCGTGACGGTGGGTACCCAATGCCACTTGGCAACGGCAGCGACGCCGACGACGACGACAGCGACAACGACGACGACGACGCCGCCGACGACGACTGCGACGACACCGACGACGTCGCCAACGACTTCGACGTGGTGCAAGCTAGACGAAGCAACGAGGCGGCGACGGGCGGCCACGGGCAGCAGCGCTGCGAAACCTCGGCGAGCCGCCCGAGCGCCGCGGGCGGCAGCGAAGCAGCCGCGGGCGGCGCCGCGGCGAGACCTCGGCGGGCCCCCCGAGCGCGGTGGGCGCCGACGGGAGGGCTGCTGGCGGCAGCGTGGCGAAGCACCGACGGCTCGATGCCACGTTGACCACGTGCCTACAGGGCAGTTTTTCATACATTGGATGTTTCAAAACTTTGGATTTTTAATAATGGTTCATTGATAATAAATGTATGCATGAACTCATCTTTGCTTTTGATACTCAATCCCTGCATTTATAATACATGATCCGCACGCGAAGCATGTGTTAAAAACGGCACTGTACGGTGGGTGGACTGAACGTGTCCACACTTGTCTCGCCAAGACCTTGACTTATGAAAGTACGTCAGAACAACATGTAGACCCTCCATCCCCTCAGTTCAAATTTGGCGGGCTTAGGCGGAAGGCCAAAGGCCAGGGATAACATGTGGACACTTCAACTTTGGGTTTTGGGGGGAAGGGTGCGAAGCAAAGGCATTTTGCGGTTGTGTGTTTATCCTGTTGCATCGCGTTCCCGCCATGGGTGTGGACACTTTTTGTCCAGACACCGTACAGAAACAATGGCTTGACCCGCTCGTGCTCTTTCCCCTTGCAAATGGGCTGGACGGTCGTTGGTTACGATGCTGGAGCTTCTGCCTATATTTCGGCGAGGCAGCCAGGCTACTCGAGTGATCAAGGTTGTTTCTTCTCTTGTTATGTTTCCTGTGACGTTATCTCCAGCTGCCCCTAGGCGCACACCTGAAACTCGAGCCAACATATTGAAACTTGCTTTTGGCTTGGTCACCGACCTTCTCTTATGTTTAAGCCACGTGTTCCAGACGATCGAGCCACCCAGCTTGAAACATCTCTGCGAAGAGGCCTGCGCGACCCACCCGCCACCACTCAACGGGTTCTCTGCTGCCTTGCGGAAGAGAGACAAAGGTAGCAGGGATGAGGAGCAGGCCGGGAGAGACATCTACTACACAGAGTGATGTGCACTTTTTCGAAGCAACGCCTCCACGCAGGATAGGGGGAACCGCCTGAGTACGCATACTGACATGCGTCGACCCTGGACTGTCGCCATCTATTCTGGAACATGCGGTAACTGCTTGCTGTCAAAACGACAACCTTGGTGGCCATGCGAGCTGCCTCTCATCTCGTCAATGTGCCGCCTCCACCTCTAGCACCAGGAACAAATGATCTGGGAAGCTGTCAGCAGAATCCTGAAAGAGCCGATGGGAAATGCACTCTTCCCAATCCTCTTGTGCCCAATCTTCTGAAGCAAACTGCCTACCCTGGACCACGGTGTCAAGAGAGCCAGGGATGCCTGCATCCGCATCCCTTGAGCCACATGATGTACTCTCCATGCTGGCCGCAGGTGAATTTTGATAAACAAGCTGATCTGAAACATCTTCTGGCTGCGAATGAAAAGCTAAGCAGGGTGGGTGAATGACTCTCACGGCGAGCCCATGTGCGACCAACTCGCCCACCAAGGAAGAGGTGACGGCGCGGCTTCGGTTCCAATGACCTAATATGACGCGCGGTCTGCCATCCGGCCCAGCTGACCACGCAAAGCAGCTCAGTACACCAGCGAGGGATCTTGCGCCGTATTCGGTCCAACAGAGATCAGTTCCAAAAACGGTGTGATACTGCGGAGTTCCAGGCATCACCGCCTCAATCCTTTGTCTAGCATATTTTGAACGGGAACCAGGGCCGTTGTCTGAGTGAGACTGCTCAGAACTGGCATTTTCCAAATCCTTCCAGTCCAAGCTCATTACCGCTGGCGTTATTGGAATACTGCCTGCGCTCACTGCTCCTGACACAACTTCTCTGAGCTGAGAGGCCGCTTCTGGCAAATCCGTGAGCGTCACGAGCGCACCTGGCAAATTTTTGGCGAGCACCATACCCAACCAGCCTCTACCGCTCCCCAGCTCCAGCAAGCGAATACCGTTTCGCTCCTGAGGGCTCGGAATCCGAGCTGAAGCCCAGCCCAACTCCGCACAACCGCCCGATTCCTCCAGCCAGCGGCAAAAGCTGTGCGCACATGGCCAAACTCTCAGGTGTGTGCCCGTGCTCGAATGGTTCTGCTCGGGGCTGATGCAGCATTCACTTCGAGGCACATGAAGGTCCCAACTCTGATCGAGAACCGGGTGTAGATCTCCGTTGGCGTCGGAATCGGAATGCACGGTGGAATCCAGCATCGCTACAACTTCTGCTACAATGGGCAGCGGCAATCACATTGGCAAGACCCCAAACGCCACTTTCGACACAATTGCTACGGACTAATACTAGAAGCCGCTAATTAAGTGGGAAAGACAAAACTTGCTTGGAACTGCTTGCCGCCGTCACTGACGAACATGTCTAGAGGACCGTCAAAAGAGGCTGATCGAATGCATCAAATGTTGTTGAGCTGCTCGTCGGCATGACGATCGGTCTGCTCCAAGGTGCAGCTAATGGATGCGAGGGCGACGTCTGCATGGTATGTATGTACTATTCAGGCATCGGCATACAGCTTATGTTTTTAAACGTGGTGGGAGGCAGGTCAATTGAATGGATGCTGGCTCAAGGGGCGTCCAGCTTCTCCCCGACTACTGCTGCGCAGGGAAGCTGGTCCTGCATACCAAGGTTTCTCCTGGGCAATCTGTGACGCCCCCCCAGGCCGGGGAAGGCCCAAAGGGGCCGCGAGCGGCGCAAGAGAGGCTCGGGACCTTTCCTTCGGGACAACCCCTCTATGACCTCGCCGCACGGGTAAGACTGGTCGGCTCTTGTGAGAGGCGGGGATTTATCCATAGCCACCGCCTGGGGGATCGATGTTCAGGGACCTCGACAGGCGGTTCGGTATGAATACACATATCTGGGCCCCTGGGCAGGGGCACACACATCTGTAGCATATCAACCGCCGAGGTCCCCGAAGATCGGTGCCACAGATACTGCTACTCTCCAGACCTCTCCCACGGTGCGTTCTGACCAGGATTTCGAGGCGAATCCAGCGGTGGCGACGAGGGCCTGCCAGGAGGCACAGAAAGGGGAAAACGGTCGAAGGGCAGCGGTATAGGTATCTTTTCCTTCTCCGAGTGTTGTTCGGCGGCGAGCGAGGGGGGAAGTGAGAAGGGGCGGGCCTTCCCAGAAGGCTCAGAAGCCCCCCCGCCCTCTGAGAAGTTCCCTAGGCCTTCCCCGAAGACACAAACCACCTCTCAGAAGACTGGGTGCCATCTGAGGAGCCCCGCCGCCTTCTGAGAAGTCCTTCTCCCAACACGGTGAACTACGGTAGAGGGAAACAATTACTGAACACTCCCCCTCCCCCCCAATTCAATGTTGGCACGCGCGGGGGAGACTACGGTCGAAGTGCATCACATCAGACCCACCGCCAACTTTGAACTTTGGGGGGAGGGGGAGGCGTTGACGGATGAATGTGGCATGTGTTCGCTAATTTGTTCCGAGGCCTGTAGCTCCCGCCCAGGGTCCAGGGCCCAGGGAGCTCCTGGGCGCCCCAGGAACGTTGTGCGGCGGCTCCGGAGCCCCCAGGGGCCCCGCCGGGGCCCGCCAGACCACCAGCACGGTGAAGCAGCTCCCGCCCCGGGCCCACACGGCGCTCCTCCTGCGCAGCCCAGGAACGTTGCGCTGCGATTCCTTCTCGTTCCACCCCCCCCCCAGTTTGGGATCATGGACAGATCCCGGAGGAGGAGGAGGAGGAGGAGGAGGAGGAGGAGGAGGAGGAGGAAGAGGAGGAGGAGGAAGGGAAGGAGTAGGAGGAGGAGGAGGAGGAGGAGAGGAAGAGGAGGAGGAAGGAGGAGGAGGAGGAGGAGGAGGAGGAGGAGGAGGAGGAGGAGGAGGAGGAGAGGAGGGAGGAGGGACAAGAGCGTATTGCTGTGCTCGCCGCCGAGTTCTGGATCATGGGCAGATCCCCGCACCCGCGCCTCGGGCAGGCCGCCTGCGCACGGCGGAGCGGCGCCGCGGGCCTGCTGACCTCAGGTCGGGCATGTCCCCCTGCAGGCGGATTTTGGAGGAAAACTTAAAAAAATAGCCAAACATCAAGGGGCCCCAGGACACACAAATAAATACACACAAATAACATGATTCCCCATCTTTTCCCATATGTTCTGGGTTTTTGTCTTCCCGCCCAATTCCCATGTTTTCCCATATTTTCCTGGGGATCGACGATTCATTGTGTCTGTGTGGTTTTTCTCCTCCTGAAAACAATCTTCAAACATAGTCAAAAAGATGCCCCCATATTCCTTTTGGACTATGTTTGAACATCCCCGTGTGTAGAGCAGAAAGGCACGCCCGACGTCAAGTTAACCCCCCGCTGCCGGCGCCTCTCCTCGAGCACCTCGGCGTGCACTGGCCTCGCAGCTCGGCGCAGCACCTGCGCCGGGCATACCCAGGGCGCGCGCGCGCTCTCGGTACAGTCGGCCATTATCATGACAAGGGTGCAAGGGCCTTGGACGCCCACTTCGAAGCTTTGCGAGCGGGGCGCGGCCAACGAAACTGGCCAAGGATGGGATGAGGAGGCAAGGATACAGGGCTACCTTTGGGAAGGCTGTCCATCCTTACCATGCGGGTCGACTGTGCGTGGTAATCCACCTGACCACCCCCCAACCCGACCCAAAGACACGCATTTCGAGTTTGGGGGGGGTGTATGGGTTCCATAGGTGACTTTTCATGTTCCCCGACGCCCCCCCACCTGGGAGTGGAGGGCAGATTGGGGCCGCCGGGTTGGGTTGAGGCAGTTTTTGGTGGGTGATGAATAAGCTACAGGGCAGCTGTCTTCGCGCGTCGCGCTCCGCGAAGCGCGGGGCGCGATGATCTTAGCGCTTTCGCGCCGCCCCCCCTGGAACAGGACGAGTTGGCGGCGCGCACCAGGGGGTAGAGGGACGGGGGAATGAGAAGCAGGCTGCTTCTTAGAAGGCGCCGGCCCCACATCTACAGGTAAGGCCCGCGCCTTCTAAGAAGCAGGGGTGCTCCTAACCTTCCCCCCTTCCCCTGCCCCCCTCTGAGCGTGGGTAAATGAAGGACTCGCGCCTCGCACTGAAGTCGCCCAGACCGCGCAGCGCGAACCGCGACTCACTTCGCACCCTCACGGTGGCCCGCAGGGCAACACGAAGGCAAGATGAGAACAGCTCCGGCAGAGGACAAACCGGGGATCCTGGAAAGCCGGCGGACCAGGAAAGCAGGCGGACCAGAGCGCTCCGGGACGGCCTCTCGAGGGACTCGTCCTCATCCTGAGCGCGCATGCTCCCAGGGTTAACGGGCATGCCTTCCTACAGGCGGATTTCGGAAGAACAATCGAAAAGAGTCAAACATACAAGAAACCTTGGATAAGGAATCCAGGGTCTGGAAGCCAGTGGACCACCCAGGGTCTGAAGCCTCATGGGCACACTCCTTAACGAACGCCCCCACCGTATTCAACACACAGTCAAACATTTTCTGGGGCTGACAGCAAAAATCGTACCCGAACGAATTGTCTTACTATTGTTCAGAGCTCCTCCTGTCGAGAGAACGACCGTCCCGGCATTCCTATAGTCCTACCACGAAATGTTCAACTCAAAAATGTTCGTATAACAAAAACAATGTTCTCAGAACATAGACCCGACGTGATGAAACAAGACTCCGCCAGAAATGTTCTAAGAACATTTTTCGTGGAAACCACCAAAAGCTCTTAGCACATTGTTTGGTGGAGCTATGGGCGAGCCAGGACGCTTCGCCACTGCTTGAACTGATCGTCGTCCACAACTCCAGCCCGTGCTCCAGCACGCGCGCGCACGCGATCCTCACGCTCCGAGCGTGCCCCGCCGCCCGCCGCTTCCTCCCGCACCCCCCCCGCACCTCGGGCACGCACCTCGGGTGGGGCTATAGGCGAGCCAGGACGCTTCGCCACTGCTTGATCCCCCTGTCGAGGGACATGCCCGACTTCATCCCAGGGCCCCCGCGCGGGCCGGCGCGGCCCAGCGCGGCACGACGTGGCCCGCGCGTTTGCCCCGGAAGGAGCGGCTGCGCCCTCCTGTGGCCCCCCCGGGCCCCCGGCCCCCGTGCGGATGTGCCCTCCTCCTGCGTCCTCCTGCTGCTCCTCCCTCCTCCCTCCCTCTCTCCCTCCCTCCCTCCCTCCCTCCTCCCTCCCTCCCTCCCTCCCTCCCTCCCTCCTCCTCCTCCTCCTCCTCCTCCTCCTCCTCCTCCTCCTCCCCTCCTCCTCCTCCTCCTCCCCCTCCTCCTCCTCCTCCTCCTCCTCCTCCTCCTCCTCCTCCCTCCTCCTCCTCACTCCTCCTCCTCCTCCTCCTCCCTCCTCCTCCTCCTCCTCCTCCTCCTCCTCCTCCTCCCTCTCCTCCTCCTCCTCCTCCCCTCCCTTCCCTCCCTCCCTCCTCCTTCCCTCCCTTCCTCCCTCCTCCCCTCCTCCCTTCTCCTCCCTTCTCCTCCCTTCCTCCTCCCTTCTTTTCCCTTCTCCTCCCTTCTCCTCCCTTCTCCTCCCTTCTCCTCCCTTCTCCTCCCTTTCTCCTGCTCCTCCTGCTCCTCCCTCCTCCTGCTCCTCCTCCCTCCTCCTCCTCCTCCCTCCTCCTCCTCCTCCTCCTCCTCCTCCTCCTCTGTGCCCGCCACGCGCTGGGAGACTTGCGCGGCGTCGCCAATGCAGTACTGTATCCTGCTCCTCTTCCTCCCCCTCTACCTCCCCCCCCCTCCCCCTCCTCTTCATCCTCCTCCTCCTCCTCCTCCGCCTCCTCCTCCCCCAGGCGCGCCGCGGCAAGCCCCAGCGGACGGCCTTTGGCCACTCTCGGCGGCCAAGATCAGGTCGGGCATGTCTCACTTCCAAGTCGAGTTTCGACGAAATTATCCTTTGACGTACCCAACCCATTTGTATCAATGGAAACGAGGAGTTGGCCGAAACTTGTATGGACAATCAACTTGATGTGTAAGCTACTTGGGAGGCGTCACTGTGCTGGGCCCCGCAAGCAGGCCTCGAAAGTGGCGACAGTTTCACAGATCGCAGCCCCCCAGGGATGGCGAGGTCCCATTTGAATCTGCGTGTGGCGTCACTGTGCTGGGCCCCCCAGCAGGCCTCGAAAGTGGCGACAGTTTCACAGATCGCAGCCCCCCAGGGATGGCGAGGTCTTATTTGAATCTGCGTGTGGGTACCCACTGTGCTGGGCCCCCAGCAGGCCTCGAAAGTGGCGACAGTTTCACAGATCGCAGCCCCCCAGGGATGGCGAGGTCCAATTTGAGTCTGCGGTGAGTACCCACTGTGCTGGGCCCCCCAGCAGGCCTCGAAAGTGGCGACAGTTTCACAGATCGCAGCCCCCCAGGGATGGCGAGGTCCAATCCCACCAGCCCTTTAGGGCGTAGGTGGTCTAGGGAGTTTCCTCTGCCAACCCCCCTTCTTCCCCTTCGGGGAGGGGTTTACCCCTCCCCTTACCCCTCCCCACTGACCTGGACGAGGCGTCTCGCGAGGTGTCGGGGACGTCCAAGATGGCCCAAGACAGCTCCAAGAGCGAAAAAGCGAGAAAGCAAAAAACATTGATTTTACCTAGGTTTTGGAAGGATTTTGGCCTCTTGGGGGGGCCCAAGAGGCGCTTCGAGGCACTCTAGAGGGGCAACCCTAATTGGAGCTCCCCCCTTCTTTGATAGATCTCCTCCAAGATGGCCCCAAGAGCGCCCCGAAGGCTCCCAAGAGCGCCCCAAGAGCGCCCCAAGAGGCCCCCAGAGACCCCAAGAGGCCCCCAAGAAGCCTCTAAGAGGCTGCCAAGAGACCCCCAAGAGGCCCCAAGAGAGTCCAAGATGGCCCAAGACGGCTCCAAGAGCGAAAAGGCGAGAAAGCAAAAAACATTGATTTTCCTTAGGTTTTGGAAGGATTTTGGCCTCTTGGGGGGCCCAAGAGGCGACTCGAGGCACTCTAGAGGGGCAGCGCTAATATACGACCCTCCCTTCTTTGATCGATCGATCTCCCTCCAAGATGGCCCCAAGAGCGCCCCGAAGGCTCCCAAGAGCGCCCCAAGAGCGCCCCAAGAGCGCCCCAAGAGGGCCCCAAGAGGCCCCAAGAGGCCCCCAAGATGCCCCCAAGAGGCTCCCAAGAGACCCCCAAGAGGCCCCAAGATGCTCCCAAGATGGCCCAAGACGGCTCCAAGAGCGAAAAGGCGAGAAAGCAAAAAACATTGATTTTCCTTAGGTTTTGGACGGATTTTGGCCTCTAGGAAGGCCCAAGAGGCGATTCGAGGCACTCTAGAGGGGCAACGCTAATAAGCAACCCCCCCTTCTTGATAGATCTCCTCCAAGATGGCCCCAAGAGCGCCCCGAAGGCTCCCAAGAGCGCCCCAAGAGCGCCCCAAGAGGGCCCCAAGAGGCCCCAAGAGGCCCCCAAGAGGCCTCCAAGAGGCCTCCAAGAGACTCTCAAAAGGACACAAGAAGCTCCCCGAGATACGCAAGAGGCCCCCGGGACCGCCAAGAGGCCCCAAAGACGGCCCAAGAGGCCCCCAAGCTCGCCATTGTCCTCCTCCTCCTCCTCTTTTTCTCCCTCCTCCCTCCTCCCCCTCCCCCTCCTCCTCCTCCTCCTTCTCCTCCTCCTCCTCCTCCTTCTCGTCCTCCTCGTCCTCGCCCTCCTCCATCTCCTCCTCCTCATCTTCCTCCTCCTCCTCCTCCTCCTCCTCCCCCTCCTCCTCCTGCTCCTCCTCCTGCTCCTCGTCTTCCTCCTCCTACTCCGACGACGACGACTCCTCCTACATCCTCCCCCTCTTGGAACGTATGGCGGCTTAACCCGCTCTTTGTTCTTCTGCATGCTCCCCCGCTTCCCTCATCACCTCCACTCCTCTGGGGCTCATTTCTGGACGGGCTGGTGGGGATACGCGAAGCGTCTAGAATTTGAGTCCGCGGTGAGTACCCACTGTGCTGGGCCCCCCAGCAGGCCTCGAAAGTGGCGACAGGTTCACAGATCGCAGCCCCCCAGGGATGGCGAGTTCTAATCTGAGTCTGCGGTGAGTACCACTGTGCTGGGCCCCTCAGCAGCCCTCGAAAGTGGCGACAGTTTCACAGATCGCAGCCCCCCAAGGATGGCGAGGTCTAATTTGAGTCTGCGGTGAGTACCCACTGTGCTGGGCCCCCCAGCAGGCCTCGAAAGTGGCGACAGTTTCACAGATCGCAGCCCCCCAGGGATGGCGAGGTCTAATTTGAATATGCGTGTGGGTACCCACTGCGCTGGGCCCCCCCAGCAGGCCTCGAAAGTGGCGACAGTTTCACAGATCGCAGCCCCCCAGGGATGGCGAGGTCCCATTTGAGTCTGCCGTGAGTACCCACTGTGCTGGGCCCCCCAGCAGGCCTCGAAAGTGGCGACAGTTTCACAGATCGCAGCCCCCCAGGGATGGCGAGGTCCCATTTGAGTCTGCCGTGAGTACCCACTGTGCTGGGCCCCCCAGCAGGCCTCGAAAGTGGCGACAGTTTCACAGATCGCAGCCCCCCATTTGGTCTGAGTGCGCTGAGCAGTCCGACAGTTTCACAGATCGCAGCCCCCCAGGGATGGCGAGGTCTGAGTCCGCGGTGAGTACCCACTGTGCTGGGCCCCCCAGCAGGCCTCGAAAGTGGCGACAGGTTCACAGAACGCAGCCCCCCAGGGATGGCGAGGTCCCATTTGAGTCTGCCGTGAGTACCCACTGTGCTGGGCCCCCCAGCAGGCCTCGAAAGTGGCGACAATTTCACAGATCGCATCCCCCCAGGGATGGCGAGGTCCCATTTGAGTCTGCCGTGAGTACCCACTGTGCTGGGCCCCCCAGCAAGCCTCGAAAGTGACGACAGGTTCACAGAACGCAGCCCCCCAGGGATGGCGAGGTCCCATTTGAGTCTGCGTGCTGGGCCCCCCAGCAGGCCTCGAAAGTGGCGACAGATTCACAGATCGCAGCCCCCCAGCTGGCACGCAGCGACGAGTTAGGCGAAAGGCAAGGGGGAAGAGAGGGGCGGGAGGGGGCGGGAAGGAAGGAAGTAAGGAAGGCGACGCGCGAGCAGTGCTCTATTCAAAACGAGAACCCAACGCAGGAGGGTTGGGAAAAATAGCACATACTGAAACAATATTCCAGAATGGCAAAAAATGGCTCGAAACGTCGTCTCCAGACTATTTTTGTGACCGTTTTTGAACACTCCTCCTGTAGAGGGACAGACCCGACTTAAGGCTAAGACGAAGCCAGAACGATGCCAGCACGAGGATAACATCGGGTGAGGACACATCGAGAATCTCTAAGACCTGGCGGTTCTGGAAGAGGTCTCGGGCGCGGCAGCCTTCTCAGAGCGTTCCGGAACGCTCTGAGAGAGTTCCGGGACGCTTTGGAACGAATGCATCCTCGCCCTAGCCCCGTCCGACCCTAACATGGCCCCGGAACTGCTCGATCATGACGTCGGGTGTGTCAGGCCGGGGAGAAGAGCAGCGCGGGGAAAAATGCAAGTGCAAACGCAAATGGGTCGAACTGCAACCGAACACGGTGCGCTTTATTCGCGCACCCATGTTTTCTCCTTTCCGAGCACCCATCTTGTCAACCGTCATGCCTCACTTGATCGACAAGGGCCTTACGCACGTTGACATCGCGACCCTACGCGGTGGATTACGCGGGCCGCCAGCGCGGCACGCCACATTGGAAAACAGGGCGCTTGCGCGCAACCTTGCGCGGGACGCTTGCGCGCCAATGTCGGTGAGGGCGACCCCTTGTTCTGTGTCGCTAACTTGACTCCCACGACGACGTCGGGCACACAACGCAGACCCATCCTGGGGCCAGGGCTCGACTTTTCAGAAATGGCGACCTGAGACATGGTGCCCTGAGGACAGGGCGGCATCAAACAAATCAAGGCTCGACTTGGCAAGCACGCAACCTTCATGCCTTCAACTAGCTTGTGACCGTGTTTTTCCCCTGTGTAACGGTCGTTACCCAGGGGGGGGGTCGGGCAGGAGGGTAACAGTAACTGCGGCCGCGGCGTGCACCCGCCAGGGTGCGTCCGCGCCACTGGCGCATCAATCACCTGCATGCGCCATAGCATGTGGAAGGGGGGTCCAGGCCACCCTTCCCAGCAAGATCGCTAGCGTTAACTGGGGGAGGGGTTTTGGCCCTGGTATCGGGGATCTGCTGACCCGGGTCAATGCAAACCCGGGTCAGTCAGGCCTCGCAGGGTCCTGCAAGATCCTGCAGGATCCCTCAGCATCCTGCGCGCCAGCCCGGGTCCATGCACCTCTGGCTCTGCAAGATCCTGCAAGCTCCGGCGCTCTGACCGACCCCCCGCTTGCATTGACCCCCGTCCCTTGAGCCCCGATGGCAACGAGCGTTACCCTGGCCGGCACGGGACCAGGCAAGGACCGCCCGTACGCCACTAAAAAATATATCCACACACAGACACCCTCGGACGAACTTTGCGTGTACCTCCCTGTGTACAAAATCGCTGGCCCTCGGTGGTGACTTCTACGCCGCCAGCCCTCCCCAGAGGGCCCAGGCACAGTCCAGTGGAGGCTGTGGGCGCCTATCTGTTGCGGCGGGGCCCGGGGCGGGCCCACTGTCCGGCCCCGTGCCGGCCGTGGCGCGCGCGGTGCCCCCGGCGGGCCTGGGCGCTGCCGTCCGGAGAGAACAGCTCCTAGACGGGGCGCGGGGGCCGTCGGGGGGGGGGGCCGCCGGGGAGCCCGGCCAGGCGCCCCGCCGGGTCGGCCCGGCCACGCGCCCGAGGACGACGCCGACGCCGACGGCGGCGGCGGCGACGGCCATATGATGCGACGGCCGCGGCCCTGGACGTCCGGCGTCTCGGACAGCATCGGGGCGGAAACGTCTCAGAGGTTTCGGCCTCCTGGGGCCCCCGTGCAGGGCCTCGGGGCCGCCCAAAAACGCCTCGGGATGAGAAGCCAGTCCCGGGGAAGGGATCGAGAGATCGGGGGTCACTGTCGAAAAACGCGAGACGCCGCATGTCTGGGGATGCGACGGCAATGACTGCGACGGCAGTGGTTGCGACCGTGGCCAGCCATGGCGGCGACGAGGGCGAGGCGGACGACGGCGACAGCGATGCTGGCCGTGCAGACCGTGCACGCCGACCAGGCGAGCGACGCCACTCGACCAAACCAAGCCAAAAACGGGCCACACGATTGAACCAGGCCGACTATAGCTGAACACAGCTGCTCCTGATCGCAATGCAACTGGTCCGTGGATCGAGTCTGGATGACCGCCGCGAACGTTCAGCGACCATCTTGACTCCTGATCGACGGAACGGGATCTTTGTTGATGGAGGCTTCCCAAACGAGGTCCGAGTAGACGGTGTCGGAGGTTCGAGCTACATCGCCACTGCATCGGCGAAGCTGGGACGGAGAAGATCGTGTTGTGGATGTCCTCCGTTGCTGCAACGGCGACGCCGCGTGATCCACCGACCAGCCGCATCTGCTCGGGCCCGATGTGGGCGGCCTGGAGCTGAGAACAGGAGCAGGGTCGCGCGAGCGGCGACGCCTGCGATCGGAGACGGCTGCCTCGCCGCCGGTGAGCATCGAGGATTGGGGGGGCGCTCGGGGCTGCTCGCGCTGGCACTGGCGCAGATCTTTTGCGAGCTGGAGAAGAGGCTGATCTGGGACAACGCTTGTGTCGAGCCTGTCCCCCTACAGGGGGATGTTCGACGAAAAAGGAAAAAAAACACCAACAAAACCCAAAGAGGTAAAAAAAAAAAAACTCCAAAAAGAGTCCCCTGACAATTTTTGGTGTATTTCTTTTGACTATTTTGGGGCTATGTTTTATGTTTCGTCGAAAATCCCCCTGTAGGGGGACAGGCCCCACTTAGGGTAACGCCTGTCGCGCTGGTCGCGCTTGTCGCGCCGATTACGCTGGCTGCGCCGGCCGAGCCGGCCGCGCCGGTCGCGCCGGTCGCGCGCCAATCTCGCCAGTCGCACGCCGGTGGCGGCGGTAGCGCCGGTGGCGGCGCCAGCGGCGCCGGTACATCCTCAGACCCGAAGTCTCAACACCATAAGACCCCAAGGGCTCAAGACTCGAAAGCACTAAAGACCCGAAGACACGATTTCAATGAGACCCGAGCACCCTCAGAGCCTGAGGCCCTACTAGCCTGAAGCCCTAATACTCAAGACCCGAATGCCATAAGCCCCTGAGACCCAAAGACCCTATGATCCCACTGCCTCATGACCATGTGTCCCTGATATCCTCAGCATCCAATACCTGAAGACCCTAAGACCCTAAGATATTATGACCAGAGTGCCCTCAGGCATTCAGACCCTCAGACCATTAGACCAGAAGGCTGTACCACCCTAGTGCCCTAATGCCTGAATTCCCTACGGCCCTAAGGTGCTAGTGCCTTAAGGACCTAGTGCCCTAATACCCTAAACCCTGGTGCATAATGACCCTAAGACCCTAATCCCCTCAGACCTGAAGGCTCTAAGACTTTGAGACTCCCATGCTTTCAATCACCAATGCGTACCCTGATGGCTGCCCTGAGACCCGAAGCTCCTAAGGCGTGTGCATCATGAGATCCAAAAGCCTTGGCGCCCTATGACCCGAATAACCCAAAACCCTGTATACCCCAATATCATAAGATTTTCAACCCTGAGGCCCTGAGGCCCCAAGGCCCATGGACCCAACCCCCCAATACCGTGGGGCTTGAGGACCCTACGACCTTAAAAGGGCCCGCTGAATGCGCACAAGGGCCAGGGATAGCAACAACTTTCAATTGTGTTTGGATCACGGTTCGAAGAGTCTGGGGTTTTCTCTCGGCAGGCGCGCACGGCGACGCGCCGGGACGTCTGAATGCTCACGCTGCAACCTCGCAGCCCTGCCAGGTGGCAGGGGGCCTTCGGCAGCTGAGGGGAACCGCCCCGCAGAATGTGTGCGCACACACACACACACACACACACTCGTTTAAGTCGGCGGCGCAGAGAGTCCCCAAGCGCGGGCAGCAGAGGGAAGTGCTGATTGCGAACGAGCATCGAATGGTATTGTCGAAGGCAAAGGTGTACGAGACGTCGCACGCGCATACACAACACACGCACACACACAAACACACACACACACACACACACACACACACACACACACACACGCACACGCACACGCACACGCACACGCACGCGCACACACACACACAAACAAACACACACACACACACACACGCACACACGCACACACACACACACACCACCCACACACACACGCACACTTGGCGGCGAGCGAGGTGGAGAAATGAGAAAAAGAAGGCCTTCTCGGAAGGCGGCGGGGCTTCTCAGGAGCCCTCGCGCCTTTTGAGAAGTTCTCGGTGTCTTCGGGGAAGGCACAGAACACTTCGCAGAAGGCCCGGGCACTTCCGAGCCTTCTGAGAAGGCTGGCCCCTTCTCAGTTCCCCCCCGCGCTCGCCGCCGACACACACGTTTTGCGTCGGCGGCTGGGCAGAGGGCAACTGTTCCGGCGGAGTGGCAACAGGGGACACACTGTATGCAAAGTAACGCCGCAGCGCACGGAAAGAGGAGCAGGAGCCCCGGCGCGACAGGAAGAGGGAAAGCCGGGCCACTCAGAGCTGCCGGCTGTGGCGGGGGGGGCGCCGAGGGGGGGGAGCAGCGCCGGAACAGAGCTGCACTGAGCTGCGCTGAGCCGACACGCACACACTGTTGAGCCGGCGGCGCAAAGGGCCCTAAAGCGCGGGCAGCAGATGTAAGTGCGAATGCACATATGTATATCTTTAGCCACACATACGTGTATTAACACCCACGCACATGTTTTTCTCCTCCAGCGCTTTGGGTCTCGAGAGAGGGTCCGGGCTCGAAGAAAGCCTACAGAAAGAAAGCTTGTCAGAAAGTCTGGTCGGGAGCAGCAAAGAAGGGGGTGTCCAAGAGGGGGGGGTGCAAATCATAACCGGCGGCATGTGCCCGGCCCAGCGGGGGGGCCAGGGACGTAATGAAATAAGAAGAGGCGCCATGAAATCTGGCAAATATCATGGCCCCCGCAATGATATCCCCCCCCCCTAGTCATCACCCCCCTCTTTGCCGCCCCCGATCTGGGGCCCGTCCGAGCCCTCCGAGCAGGCCCGCCGCCCCTCCGGCTGCCACCCGGGGCCGGGCTGGCCCGAAATCCAGGCCCAGGCGCTCCCAGGCGCGCCCAAGTGCTTGGAGCGAGCACTCCGCGCGAGCTGGCACGAGCGGGCCGCCCGAAATGGGGCCGGGAACGTACTGGAGCCCCAAACCAGATTAATGAATGAAGAAGATGTGTATTGGGAGCAGCTTTTGTGTCGGGGATCTTCTGACCCAGGTCAATCCAGACCCGGGTCAGCAGTAGACCAAAAACTACAATGCAGGAACAAAAAACTGCAACGCAGATCTTCGCAAACCCGGGTCAGCAAATATGCGCGGCCGCCTCGCGGCCACGAGCGGCTCGCTAACCCGGGTCAGCCAGAGGGGGTCTTCGCAGGATCCTGCAGGATCTGGCGCCCTGGCTGACCCCCGTTTGCATTGACCCCTGTCTCGAGGCTCCCGATTGTGGACCACTGACAGTTTGCCGGGTCGGGCCGCGTCCTCCAGCTCGCCCGGGTGCGCGCGCGCCATCTCCTGCGCGACGAAGTCCACCTGTGGCAGGGGCGGGGCGCCCCCCCCACCCCCCCAGGAGAGCCCCAAAGGCGAATCGCTACAGTCAATCCGTAGAGTAAGGATGCGCGATAAGGATGCAAGGGCGCCCCCCCAGGGGAGCCCCAAAGGCGAATCGATAGAGTCAACCCGCAGAGGAAGGAGGCGCGACAAGGGTGCAAGGGCCTGGGAAGGCCACCTCGAGGCTTCTCGAGCGGGGCGCGGCCAAGGAAGGTGGCCGAGGATGGACCGAGGAGGCAAGGCTGCAGGGGTGCCCTTGCGAAGGGTGCCCATCCTTACTACGCTGGTTGTGACGAAACAACCACAAACACCCATACCCATAGGGGGGTCGGAGAGGGCTATGGGTGCGTGTTGTCGAACGGGGGTCCCCGCTCGAACGGGAACGTTCCCCAGGGTCCGACAACCCGCACCCATACCCATAGCCAGTCCTCCTCCAAACGACCCCCCTATGGGTATGGGTGTGTGATGTTCGTTCGTCAGGTTGACTGCACGTCGAGTCGGCGATCGAGACGAACATCGGATCGGCGGAAGGCGGCAGCCGCGCCGGGAGGGGCCGCACTGGCGGGGAGCGGCAGAGCGGCGGGGCCCTGGGGAGAGACACCGGCAGCCGCATCGGGAACCCGAGCCGGAAGCCGAGGCCGGGCCGCAGCGGCATCGGAACCCCTCGACATGGAGTCGAACCGAATCGGAGGAGTCGCAACGAGCCGTGCCTCACCCGCCCTCTCTTCACGGGCGAAGAACGGTATAAAATAAACTTTTTCGCTGTCGGGGGCGCCTGTCCCAGGGCGGCTGGAAAGTTTATACCCTTACGGTGGCACCGTAGGGGTATAAACTTTCCAGCCGCCCAGGGACAGGCGCCACCGACAGCGAAAAAGTTTATTTTATACCGTTCTTCGCTCGCTGACTTTCGGGTGTTGCTAGAAGCACCCCTGGCCCAAGGTACCCCCAGGATTCTCGGCGTGGCCCAGGCGGCCTCCAGGGCCCCCCTCACGAGGCCCAGAGGGCCCCTGGGGCTCCGAAACGACGCGAAAATCTGGGGACACCTTGGGCCAGGGGCACTTCTAGCAACACCCGACCCTCGGCTCTCCGCGGGGCCGCGGGAGGCCGGCACCGCCGGCGGCGCATGCGCGTCTCCCGCGCAGCGTGCGCCGAGGCCGGTGGTCCGCAGAACGCGCGCTGGGCCTTCAGAGCCCCCTCGGGCACAGAGCACAGGCCGGGGGCTGCCGATGGAGCTGAAGGGGGGGGAAGCCCTCCTCCTCCTCCTCCTCCTCCTGCTCCTGCTCCTCCTCCTGCTCCTGCTCCTCCTCCTCCTCCTGCTCCTGCTCCTCCTCCTCCTCCTCCTCCTCCTCCTCCTCCTCTCCTTCTCCTCCTCCTCCTGCTCCTCCTCCTCCTCCTGCTCCTCCTCCTCCGCCTCCTCCTCCTACTCCTGCTCCTCCTGCTCCTCCTGCACCTCCTCCTGCTCCTCCTGCTCCTCCTGCTCCTTCTCCTCCTCCTCCTCCTCCCCCTCCTCCTCCTCCTCCTCCTCCTCCTCACGCCTTGAAGATCACACACCGAAGGTGGGGAAACCAAATGGTACTGATACCGCTACCCCCGTTGACCTCTCCCAGGGCGCGTTCTGATACGGATTTCGGAGCGAATCCAGCGGTGGCGACCCGTCGGCCCCGTCGGCTGCGGCTTCGGTTCCGTCGGTTCCGGGAGCATGTGCCCCTGCAGACGCTGCCCCTCCAAACTCTGCACCAGATGCGGGGCTAGTGTCGGTGCGCGAAGTCGATCTCGAAAAATAGCAAACCCAGCGAGCCGGCAGCGGAGGCAGGGCAGGGCTCCCTCGCCCCGCCGCATGGGCCTGCAGAAGAGGCCGCGGCCGCGCCAGGCTCTGCCAGCAAGCCGATGGCGCCGGCTCTGCCGGCAAGCATGCTGCAAGACCTCAGAGAGGCGTTTGCCGCCGAGGACAACGCTGAAGAAACCATCGCTCGGGGCGGCCCCGAGGACGCAGCAGAAGAAGTTGCTTCGAGAGCACCGCGGAGTTCGCCGAGGACCTACAGGGGTCAGTCTTTGACAGCACTGCAGCGGACAGGCGCGCGGCTGTCGATCGTGCTGCGGCGCGTGCGGACGCGGTGCCGTCGCTCCTGCGACTGGGGCGGCAGCCTGGGTGCGAGCGGAGTTCAGAACTGGCCCAGATGCAGGCCATCAAAGAGCGGGAGGTTGAACATGCGCGCTATCGTCGCGTCGCGTCGCGGCTTACCCGAAGGACGCGGACACCCAGGCGGTCCTGCAAGGCGCTGCAGGGGGAGTGGGATGAGGGGGAGTGGGGGGAGGGGGGCGAGGGTTGGGGGGAGGAGGACAGGGGGGGCGGCAAAGAGGGTCATGCTAAGGAGATGCCGCCGCCAGCTCTACTTCAGTTGGTTTCGGAGGGGGCTGGGGGCGGGGGCAGGAGGAGGCAGTGGAAGGAAGGCAGGAGGAAGAGCGGGAGGAGGGTGCGTATGATGTCTGGCGCCCGCGCCGAAAATCTCTGGCCAGACTGGCATGCCCAGGTCACCCGCGCGCGCCTCCCATGCCATGGGACCGCGGCCTTCGGGTGGCACCGCACCTGGGCGGCGGTCACTCCGGGGGAGCTCGCGCGGGCTGCTGGGCGGCGCTCCGCGGGAAGGCAAGTGCGTTACTTCTACCGCGCACTCCGAACCGTGGCCCTGCAGCGTGCCGAGACCTCCAGGTCGCCAGGCTCTGGCAGGGGCGCCGCCGGCGTGGCGGGGGGCGGACTCCGGGCGACGCGCGTGCGAGCGCGCCTCGGCTTCAGCAGAGATCAGCTCGTGAAGGAGCACGCGGTCGCTACCGTCGGGGCGTTGACCTAAAAAGGAACCCTAAATAAGGAACGAGGCCAAACTTCGATTTCCGATCGAAAACACCAGGAACACCTGAGGCAAGCTGTGAAACACTTAAGGAACACCGAGCCCCTCCCCAACGAAAAGGGTTCCTTCTTCAGCGCCTCGACTGTATTGGCGTCGAGGTGGAAAACGCGCCGGTTTTCTTCTCTGAGGCGGCCGCTCGCCGCGTCTAGGCCCGCGTTCAGCGGGGCATGCGCCCCGCCGTGGGCGGGGCGTGCTTTTTCCCCAGGCTCTGCCAGGAAACGGCGCGCCGTCGCAGTGCGCGAGGCCGCGTGTCTTGACGTGGGGCGCCCATCTCGCGAGCACGGCGCTCGGCTCACTAATCGTTGACCAGCCTCGAACATATCCCTATCCCTAAGATTGACATGCCAAAAAGCGATGACAATCTTAGGGATGCGCCCTCAAAAAATAAGGGAATCCCTACGATTGGCATCGTGATGAGGGGATGCCCAGCATAGGGATAGGGCTATGTTCCAGGCTGGTAAATTGTGGGCGAGCTCGTTCGCATCGCAGGGAGCGTCGGCCTTTTGCTCAGTCGTGCCGTCGCGCAGCCACTGCGCGCGCGTGCGCGGCCGCTGTCCCGGGGGGGCATGCGCACGGCCGCGGCCTCCGCGGCGCGCATCTTCCAGGGATAGGGGAAAAACAAAGCTACCGCGCTTTTGACCACCCTCGCTTCCAAAAGATACCAAACGAGGCCAAACTACGGCCTGTACTGGTCAGGCCGCTTGACGAGGAGGCGCGTGGTATGACTTGGTTTTGCCTGGAAGCGAAAGCGGGGTTGGTAATTCACGTTCTGAAGGGAGGGGCGGGGCGCCAGGAGCACGTGCGCCGCGGGTGCGCAGAGTGGAACGGTGGCGCGCCGGTCTCTGACAGCGCGCCTCTGCGGGTTCTGCGTCTGTGCTGTCTCGCCGCAGGGGGGGGGGCCAGGACTTTCGAATGCGGGCGAAGCCCTTGCGCGCGGTCGAGCGCGCGCCGCCGGATGCGCGGGGCTGGGGCGCTCCCGAGGGCGGACAGCCTTCGGCAGCGCTGGGAAGCGGCCCGGACTGGCAGGAGCTCAAGGGCGGAAGCCACTGGCGCTACGACAAAACCGACAGCGACCAGATCTGGTGCCACTCGGCGCCTTTTCGCGGCACGCTGGGGGACGAGCCCCAGTGGCAATAGGGTTGCGCCAGGCCTTGACGACGACGACGGCGACGACGACGACGATGACGGGGATGATGATGATGATGATGATGATGATGATGATGATGATGATGATGATGATGATGATGATTCCCCTCAAGGACCGACGGCAATGAGAGATGACAACCGATGCAGTGCGTCCAGTCCAGATCCATCTCACAAGATGGGAGCTAAACAATAATTAAAAACTTCCTGCAGCACCACTGCTAAAATCCCACTGAATGCATACCCTGAGAGAGAGGGAGGCCGATCAGAAGCTAAGCCCGTGGCCAGGCGACGATCGAGGAAAACAGACCCTGCCCTCACAAAATCTCTCTCCAGAGAGCAGGCGGAGCCTTGCGGTACTTCATCGGTAACCTGGCGGCAGCAAAACTAATGAGGAATAGTCGGCGGCCAATACAGCTGAAACAAGGCTTGTCACTTGCAACAGCCAATGGACGCCGCAAGAAGCACTGTTTGGGGAAACGCGGGCCGCGCAGAGGACCCCAAGAGGAGCAGAGAGAGCGGCTTTCGGGGAACCCCGACACGGGCATCAGCAGAGAGCGAGGCCAAGCCCGCTGCCCCCAGCGGGGCACGAGGAGAACAGAGCAACAAGACGACATAATGGTACATGTACAGCGTACGACTCCGCAGGTCCCAGAAGGGACAGTGAGCCACTAGCCCCAGGGGGGCAAATGTATATAAGACCCCTACTAGGAAGAGGCAGACCAGGCACGAGCAACCTTGGGGTGCCGCCGAGTGTGCAAGCGGATGCGGCCTTTGAGGAGATCCATCAGCGACAGCCTGGACCCCTCACGGAAGCTTGCTTGGACAAAGAGGAATCCATCCAAGAGGCTCGCACATATTAATCGCTGCTCAAAAAACGGGGGAGGGGCAATAAAGGTTAAACATCGGAACCAGGACTCTTCGCTAAAAAAA